CATAGCGGGTACCGCCGCCGGAACATTCAAATGCAATGAAGAACGCCACTGGCGCGCGATACTGAAAGAGGGGGCGGTGGCAGGGATCACTGAAAACGGGAAAGGCCCAGAATATGAGGAAAGGTGCCAGGGACCGCATTTACCAAAGAGGGAGGAGGAGGTGGTGGCGAGGAACGTATTACTGTTTTACTGAAATAGGAAGTTCTCCAAGAGCGTTCCTTTGCCGACAATTCCCAGAAAGAGATCTGGAGAAATGGGCTAAATTTACAGCAAAGGGCACTCGGGTCCAACACGAGGACAAAGGAGTTCGACGTTGGTAGTAGAACGCTGGAGGAAGCTAAGTCGCCGCTGTGGGATGACGCTAGCCGTTGAAGCCGTGGGCCCCTCGGGGTCAGAGCCGCGCAGCCATCCTCTCCTCCCCACACCGTTAGACGGCTGCCCCGCTACTTGTCCATTCCCTGTACATAGCTTTGATGATCCCTCGATGATTACCTAAAGCCATATTCTGCCGACCGCCACGATCCCATTTTTCTGTCCTTTGTCCTTGACTGACCTTGATGCACGAAGAGAAGGTGAAGGCGTAAGCGTTGAGAAGGCAGCGCTGACGTTGGAGCCTGACGTGGGCTGTGCAGTCTCACCACTGAGGTTGCGGGCACCTTTCGGGCGGTGAGCAATTCCAAAAATGCAGACAGGGGAAGGCCAGCCTCTCCTCCATGACACACGCGCGAGCCCTGGGTAAGGCACCGCACATACTCCCCCTCTACCGCCCTGAACAAAGAACACGGCGCTGGCACTATCCCCTCAGCTGCCAGCTACCGCGCTTTCAAGGAACAGATCCTCAGGGAACAGCAGGGTATGGCTGCACCTACAACGAGTCCGAGAGCGCTGCAAGATAGAAAAGCAGCCGTGCCCGAGAGAACCTATGAAACAGCCACTGAGGAAGGGACAGACTAATGAGCTACAGGCCAGTTAAACAGTCTGAGATTCAAGATCGAGTTTTCATCCTCACTTTCTGAAAACACAGAATACATTTCAACTTTGCGTGCAGTAGCAAAAGCAAAGCAAGCTTCCTGGCAAATAATAAACACCCATGCAGAATTTAAAGGTTGGCCACCTTTGATTTTGGTCGTCTGACAAAGCTTCATTTCTGCTCAACCCAGACCACAAAGGACTGAAAAACAACAGCACTCAAGGAACTAGATCAACCTTGCAACAGACACGTAACTTTAATTACGGCATCTCTAAGTCACTAGGTCAAGCTTTAGAAGTCTGCGTGGTCAAGACTGAGTTGAAAGCTGCTGCTTTGATGTGTGAAGTAGCAAATGCACATTTTGGCGTTTGTACAGATTAGTTCTATTAGCTTCCCCATAAATCCCATTCTTATATTCGCTTATCGCGTATTTTACAAATTTAGCAATGAAAATGATGGCACTTAAATGAGTACACCTAACTTCCGGAACGTTTGCTGAACTTCCTCTGAACTGATGTCTGATTTTGTAATGTACCTTCCAGAATAACAAAGAGAGGTTTGAAAATAACATTGATAAACTACGAAAGAGAAAAGCCACATAAAACAATTTCAAGACCAGCAGAATGAAATGTAAACGGCAAGAAAAGTCTTAGTAAGCTTCTTCCAGGCTTTATAATTTATTTCATAATTCTGCACATGAAATGTATGAACATGTAAGTATTTAGTTACTTTGTACCTCTGCTGCACTCATTTATTTGTAGGACAACTGGTGATCATGTTACTTCTTACTGAGCATACCGTCAACCTAAGAAAGAGGGAAAAAAAAAATCTTAGCAACAAGAAAAATAGATACGAGTATGGTTAGACGCATCTCACAACAGGCTGTATTTTCAGCTGGAGAGGAATATTTATGGCAAAAATAACCACAGCACTACAAGTTTTTCTATACCTAGTAGAAGCAATTCCTTCATGTGGCGTATTAATTGCTCTGAGGCCATAATCCCCAACAGACTTTTTAGCTGGCAGAAACACAATTGTGGTTTTTACATTGAAAAGGACAATGACCACATACAATTTGCACTATAATGCAAGTCTATGGGATTGACTTTATATCATCCTTATGTGGAATATACAAGTGAAGCTGAGAAAAATGCTTCCCGCTGTGGACCTGTCAGAATAAGAAAAGAGGCAAAGATAAGCTATTTTTAGTGACCTTGATCTCCTTGTCACTAAAGCACTTGGAAGGTATGCTCTTTGCGACCTAAATTTGTTATAGACACTGTAAGAGATGTGTTATTTCCCAAAAGTTTGCATGTCCAGGACATAAAGCTGGCAGTGAATATGCACACAAATGAATATATGAAAATATAGATCAGTCACTTTATCATGGGGAATGAGTTAGAAGAATAGCAAAAGCCAAGATGTAAAGTACTAAGGAAAACAATAAGGGAAGAAGGTAGGTCAGTCCAGTATCTTGATTGCTAACAGAAGTCAAAGATCTGCAGAATTTGCGTTCAGCTAAATCAAAAGCATCTGTACATACACATTTACTATGAACATCCTGTACACTTACGTTGCCTCTCTTGTTTTCTTCTTTCATATTCCATTACATCTTCGTTATGCTGCTTGAAAAGCTGTAAAAGAGCAGTATATGATAAACGGCTATACAGTGCACAGCTGGAACCAGAGAACAAAGATTTCTACAGAATATAAAATTCCTATTATCGGAATGTAAACCAATACGTAATTATTAAAAATTGGGACAACACAGTAAATGTTCTGTAAAGTATCAATTGTCCAGTGAGGCATATTTTCCACACCTTTCTCAAGCATTTTCTGCTGGCTGATTGAGGGGGGGGAAGGTTCCTACTGTCAATCAATCCACCACCCCAAAAATGGGGAAAACCCCAAAGGGAATTCACCCCATCCTGAAAAGCGCTGTCATCATGGGAGTGCTGCTTATCCTGCACATTTCTTTGTGACAGCTACGACACCCTGCTCGCTTTATCAACGACATCAAGCCTGTGAGTTCTCTGAAACAGGGAACATCTTACATCTGCATTTTGCTCAGGAAAAGGGGGTCTTAATCAATTGACTACGGCTGAAAAATCAGAACAGAACGCATTAGTAGTCTGACACGCACAACGTTATTTATGCACATCCCTAGGTCTTTTTCTTTTTTAAGATCCATTGGGGAAAATAATGTTAAAGCCTTAAACCAACCAGCTTGAAGAATTAATTCTTCTGTTGAGGCTGTTCTAAGCCTGCACCAGAGAGCAGCTTAATAAGTTGTTCATTTTCATAAAGAAAAGCGCAACACAGATTTGGGAAAACATAACTAATCAACATACGCTTCAGCCTTGACACCTGCTATGACCATCCACTACGCCGATGAACTTAAGTCGGTTGTAGTCACTGCCTTCAGATCACTACGGTCTGAGAACAGTTAAGTTCAACAAAACCAAAGGAAAACACTTACGAGAGCCCACAAGGCAGCACTGCTGGTGAAAGCCAAGCCAACTCCAAACCAGTTTGGTTGGTCATAATTACGTCTTTTTGCAACAAATGCAGAACGAGTGAAAGCTAAAAAGGCAGAAGATTACAAATGTGTTAACGTTTTTCAGGTTTAGACTACCAAGTCAATTACTGACACTCATACAATCAGGGGGAAAAATCCAAATAAACCACAACAACAAAAACCCCAAACAAATCTAATGATGATGCATAAATGGTCCCCATAACATTGTTATAGCTCACCCGCGTGCAGATACACTGCGGCGTGCCCTCCCTGATCCGAGGGAGAGCAGAGAGGGGACGGGGCACGGCCAACAGTTCAAAGC